CAATTGCATTGTTTTATTTCAAGTTCATATTATTTATTATCTTACTTTAAGAGTAAAAAAAACTAATTCCTCCAAAATACACATCATTAAAGTCATTTTTTAGATATAAAGAAACACATATCATCAAAATATATTTCCTTTGTTGTGACTGATGCTATTTTAAAACTAAATCCTACTTTATAATATATATAATTTCATGCATGGTGTTAAAGTTAATTTATTCCAACAAAGTGAGATTTTATTTTACATTCAGATTCAGCAAATAAAGTTCTAATCAGTACACTGGAAAAACCAAAATCTAGATTTTTGGTCAATTTTTTTGTGCTTTTGTTCTTGAATTGAGAAGGTAAAAGAAACACAATTTAGACAATTTACACTTAAAATAAGAAAACACTATTTGTTTGTCTTATTTTAAGTGTACGTTATCTAATTATCTTATTTTAAGAAAATTAAGATTATTTACCTACACACTGCAAAAACGATCTAGAAATAAGTAAAATAATCTTAAATCAGGTGTATCTACCCTTAATTTGAGTAGATAAATACGATGATTTGCCAATGAAATTAGTATCTTTGCTCTTAAAATAAGATAATATGAACTTGAAATAAGACAATGCAATTGTTTTTTTCTTATTTTAAATGTAAATTGTCTTGTTCCATTGGCAAAGTGTCTCACTTTCTTCCTCAAATGGAGAAAAAATTGACTTACTTTAAGAAAAAATGACTTACTTAGATTTCCATTTTTTGCAGTGCACAAATTAAGGGTAAATACACTTAATTTAAGAAATCTTCACTTATTTCTAGATAATTTTTCCAGTGTAAGAAGTTGGAATGTAGATTATTTTATGGATAAAAAAAAAAATGATTGGCTAAATTGAAGCCAGGATGCGTTAGACTAATTTTTTAAAACATAGATTTTCTAGCGCTGTATAATAATTTGTCGTTCTGAGCTCTTTATTTGTTCCTCTGCTGGAAAATCCTGCTTTGAACCGGAAACTTGTCAAAATAAGCTGCAGCTTCATTAATCAGCCTAACGTGGAGTTTGGAGCTGCTGCAGCCGGAGGCTTTCTGTGGTGTAACTGAGAGACATTTTAAAGTCGGCCTGAATGTACGGCGGGTTGTTCTGCCTGAGGGGACAATCATTAGTCTCTGTGTCCCTGAGCTGGACATGTCCCGCCATCTGACACTTCTTATTTTTCCCCCTGCTGTTGATTGGCTGCATAGAAGTTCATCCTTAAACTCGGACCGAGGAGCCGTGGAGAAAGTTCACATTCGTGCTCATTTAGAGCAGAAATGGAGCTGCATGGAGTTTCAAATGATTTTGGATTTCTTTAGACATAAAGGATGTATTCGTTATTTCAGAGCTTGCTTTCCTCTTCCCACAGCGCTGATGCATGCCGTGGTGTTTGGTAACGTGACCGCCATCATCCAGAGGATGTATTCCCGCCGCTCGCTGTACCACACCCGCACCAAGGACCTGAAGGACTTCATCAGGGTCCACCGGCTGCCCAAAGCCTTGGAGCAGCGAATGCTGGAGTGTTTTCAGACCACCTGGTCTGTGAACAATGGGATCGACGTCAGTGAGGTACATTTGATTCCCATAGGGTCACTGTTTGATTCAATAAATGGTTTATTTACAGAGAAAACTCCACCCCTTTAACTGAGATTCCATTATGAAATAAATATATGAATCTGGAAATTAGAAATTATAATAAAAACATGCAACAAAATCAATAAAAACAAAAAAAAAAACATAACACGGATTAAAATTACACACTGCAAATAAAATCAATGGAAAGATTTGAATTTTAAATTTATATATAAATGTATTTATTATAAATTCAAAATAGACGTTTACCAAAAACCAAACAAACATATACTAATTTATTTATATGAATGCCGAAAATAAAAAATTTCATTTCATGTCCAGGTTTATTGTTTGTCCATAAAGAGGCTGTGA